GGAAAATATTTTTAAAACCTCTGTGGAATTGAAGATGTATTTAAAATGATCCTTTAATTTTCAAGGTTTTTATATTCCCAACAGAACACGACAAAACAAACAGATGAAGAAGAAGAGAGGGCGAGTTTTTATGTTGGTAAATTAGGAATCTGACGTCATTCTGCTGCTGCGTTTCCACTGAGAAGTAAAATCTAGACGACTGCTCTCATTTATTTTAGCTTCATGCATTACAATCCTAATGAATTTGTTTCTAATGGCCTACTCTTTTATTATGAATTAAAAATAAATTTACACAGGAATCATTATAAAAACTTTTTGTGTTGCATGAGAAAAAGTAATTGTCTCTGGTATTTTACAGATCATCCTTGTTTTATTATATTACAGATAATATCAAGTAAAATATCCGAAAAACATAAACTTACATGTTCACCATAAAACATAGAGTCCAAAACAAAATTTGGTGTTTTTAAAAAAAAATTGATTAATTCTTACCGTAAGTCTGTAATTCATTCTTTTATTCTATTTGACTGTCAAATTTATGCAATTTTTACCTTTTTTTTTTTATCAGAAAATAATTATTTTACAGATATATGTATATTAAGGAGTGAAAATTTTCATAAAATTTGCAAAAATAAATAAATAAAAAAATTGAATGTTATTTTACAGATTTTCCCTGTTTTGTCAAATTACAACTAATATAGCAAAATCACAGCAAATAATGTTACGTTGACTGTTAAAAAATTAAAGAAACATGGAAAAAACTGTAAATAATGTTCACGTTAAACATCAGTATTTTTAAAATACAGTTGTGACTCGATGATCCGACCTTTAACAATCCGAAAGCCTTACTATCTGATAGGTTTTTAGGAAAAACGAACCCATAAAAAACAGCCTTAACATACCGACAGCTTTGGATTCTGACTCCGACATGACATTTTATGTACATACTGCTTGTATGTTCCGGCCACTTCCATCCCGTCGGAGCACAACCCCGGGGTGGAAGTGTCCCTCGACCGCGTCGAATATTCAGATATTCATCATTAATTGTTCCTGAATATCCAGAGACCAGAAAGTGCTATTGGGACCAGCCCTACTAGTTATTATAACAACTATGAACAATAATTAACAACAAATGATCCTTCCAGCATCAAGCCCTCCTCGTATCTCGACCTCCGTCTTGACAATCCGACATAAAAGAAGGTGTAAAACCTTAAGCGTCGGATTATCGAGTCACAACTGTAGTAATGTGTTCTTCTAGAATGTGTGACTGCAATCGTGTTTTTTTTTTAAATTTTCTTCTGGATAATTGCTGTTACTCTCATTGTTTTGTGTTGTAGTTTTTTTGGGGGGTTACAGTTTGTGAGACCTTCTTCCAGTGTGATACAGACAGACAGAGGAGCAACAGTAAAGCAGTGAAATAAGATATGTTGATTAGAAACGCATCGCAATCTAATGAAATCCTTGAGAAAATACGTTTCCCTCGAAATATATCTGCACTTTGGTTGTATAGTGACGTCATTTCCATGACACGCTGCTCAAAATCAGACTCATATTTACACGCTGGAAAAAAGCTCGAGGGCTACTTTAGTTTTTTTGGGGGGAATGACTTCGCAAATTTGAAAACTTTCCAAAGCCCCCGCACTACTTCATCTTCACCCAGACATCTCATCATCATCTCCAGGCCGGCAATTTTTCTCTCCACCCGTCACCTGGACACCCATCAGCCCCGAACGTCTTTCAGCAGAGACATATGTGCCGGCGTCCGCTGATGACTGCTGAATCATTAATGGCACTATTACTGCCTGATCCATCTTTTAACAGCAGCGGTCTCATTTGTGAAGACTGGGCCAGTTTTTTAATAGCTTTATCTCGGGCCATTTTTGGAAAAAAATGGGCACAGGGTTTCAATTAGCGGGAGACGTTTCCACACTTATCACCTGCCTATTCGAGTTCAGGGCGTCGCATTTGCTTGATGGTTATTTATGCCGCTGATGCCTCCGTTTCGACAGTTTTATGTCGCTTCATTAAGTCCCAATTACAGAAACATGTTGCGGGAAGCGGTGCCATCTCGTTCTAGATGTTACATCAGAGGCCCTGTTATGTTATAAGCGAGCGGCTCCTATACAAAAGCGCCGCCCCGAGATAACAAGACGCGCGCAAACACAAAGCCGTGCGCCGCCGCTGCAGATCTGCGCACACGTGTGCCGCGAATGCAAACATACAGTTCGGTGGCAAGATACACAAGATAGCGTCGGCCTGATAATCATTTATAGAGCTCGGTGGTGAGGGGCAAAGTGCTGTTATCGCACGCAAGCAGCAACGTGGAGCTCTCAGGAACCCTCCACGACAAGCTGCCGCCGCCATTAGCTCGTACATCCAGGAGATACGACGCGCACTTTCTGTCGCTGTGCCAAGTGCTGCTCGTCGGCTGTCATCCTATAGGGAGATAATGTGCAGCAACACTCAGTCCAAGGTCCTTTATTACATGAAAACAAAAGGACTTAATCCTTTCCATGTTGTTGTCTCTCCGGGGGATTCGAGGAGTCCTTCAGTGTTGGATCGAACGGTGCTGGTTTCAAAGCTCCTCTCTTGTTTTCTGCGGAAGGTTCGTCTTCAAAGGAAACAGTGCGCCGCTTCACGGAGCTAATCTCTCGTGCCCCTGATTGTGTTCATGTAAAACTGTTTGGGCCCACATGTAGGCGAAAGCAGGCCTGAAATACCAAAGCTCATCACACTGAGGGCAGCAGCTCCGTGTCTCTCTCTCCTCTGCTGCTGCTGTGAGAGATTTATCAACAGAGTTGAGGCAGTAATTATCCATAGTGGATGTTCAATAATTCATGGCAACACACTCTCTCAAGCTTATGGTGAGAGATTGGTAATTGTCTTGCCATTGCAGTTGTCTTGCTCGCTCCCATCTGTCTGCATTATGCGCGTTATTAAATCCATATATATCTGCGCGTTTTGTTATAGATTTACGGGGCCGTGTTTATGAATCATCCATTTAAAGCTTTGCCAGGGAGCATGATTGCCTCTGATTGTAATGGTATTTGACTAAATGTGCTGTAGCATGTGGAAGGCGACACAACCCCGGCAAATTAAAGAACGGCTACAAGTGCTGGGGACAAAGTTAATAAAAAGGAATGAGTGCAGAATGTTGCTCAACTGATTGCTTTATAGGTAAAAAAGAAAAATGCATGTAGGCTCAAAAACCTGCGTCACAGTGTTGGTCAAATCCAACGTACTGTTGGCTCATTAAAAGACTAGAGGTATATTTATATATGTACTATATCACCAAGCATACATTTATTCATGTAATCAATAAATAAATATCGAAGTAATTAAATGGATTTGCCATGCTCATGATCGTGTGAGGCTGATCTGCAGTAACGCACCGACACGCTCACACTGACGATGCTAACACATTGATATTTATATATTCAGCTCATTTAAAACACGTATTTAAAACTAGTAGAGAAACTCTTTCACCGCTACGCATTTACTCTAAAGTATTAACCCTTTATAGGGCACTCTTTGAAATACTTAAATAAATTTCAACCCTAGGGTGTTATTGAAGGATATTTCAAGATATTTTTACTTTTGTCACTTAAAAAAAATGGTGCAAATCAAGATTAATACAGTTACCATATATGGTAACCTGCCCGTCTATGGTTAGAAAAAAAAAAAAGGGAATTTATAATAAATAAAAGAAAAAGTAACAAACTGCAAAAAACATTTATTACTGATGCTTACACAACCAGTAACTAAGTATTTATAAAATGCTTGGCAAGTTCATTCAGTCACATTTTTCTTGGGGTGGTGGTTTTGGCACTAATCTCAAAAAAATAATCAAAGTGGAGTTCAATGCAAACCAGTAACAAAGCGTTCATAGGGGCCTGGAACATTTGTTTAGTGACATTTTTCATAAGCTAGTGATATTGGCATTAATATAAAAACTAACTCAAAGTGGTTCTTTAACCGACAAGGAGAGGCACAGGGTGGACATGTTGAAGGAAGTTACCAAATATGGTCACTTGCCCCATAAAGGGTTAAGAACCTACAGTGGTATATAAACACCACATTATCTGGCACATTAAAAAAAAAAAAGGTTTATGTTGGACAAAATTCTACAGAAAACCCAACCAGTCAAAGACTCCTTTTGAACAAGCACTTGTAGTGCTAAGAGAAGCTGCAGTTGAAAACCATCCATCCATCATCTATACACCGCTTAATCCTCACTGGGGTCATGGGGGGCTGGAGTCTATCCCAGCTGACTCAGGGTGAAGGCAGGTTCACCTGGACAGGTAACCAGTCTATCACAGGGCTACACTTAGAGACAGACAACCAAGCACACTCACATGCACACCTACAGACAATTTAGAATCACCAATTAACCTCAACATGTTTTTGGACTGTGTGGGAGGAAGCTGGAGAACCCGGAGAGAACCCACGCTGCACAGGGAGAACATGGAGACTCCACGTAAAAAGATCCTGGGTGTCTTCTTACTGCGAGGCAACGGTGCTAACCACTGCGCCACCTTGCAGCCCAGTTGAAAACCATTTAAAGCCTAATGGTGCTAACTGGAAATGTAACAGATCACCAAACATATTATGTTTCATCCTGACAGGAATGTGAACGTCCAAACTTCCTGATGCTCCACCCAACAGTTGTTGCAGCATTTTGCTCAGAACCACAAATATCAACCCTAAGATGATGATACAAGACACATCAGGGACCAAAGTCAGTCAAAGTTTATATTCTCGTGGTCATAAATGGCCATAAATCCAACCAGCACGTGTTAAGATATTTCAGTGATCACACCAACCAACACTGCATCCACAAAGCCTTGCATTGCTAAAAAATAAAATGAAATTATAAAAAAAGAAAAACCATGCACATAAGCAGTCACAACGTCTTTAAGAAATAACTTTATTCAGCGTGTCGAAGCCTTCCTGCGTGCCACAGTGGCAGGAGTTCACCCACAGATCTGCCACGTTAAATGATGAATGAAGAGCAGGAAAGCGGGTCGAGCAGCACGGAGGAGTGGCACGAACTGGAGCGCAGCCTGATGCTGGTGTCTCAGATCGTGACTTCGAGTCGGCTGCAAACGTGACGGGTTAAATAAGGAACACATTATGGGCTGCTTTGGATGCGAGAAAACAGAAAGAGGCGTCCTTAAGATTCCCAGTGCGTCGAGTCCATGATTCGAAACCACAAAATCCATCTAATCAGCTCTGTCATACTGTGTGTTTGCTGCTATGCATGTGTGGGAGCATCTGACTTACTAGACAGATGCTCAGGAATCCATAAAGAATTTAACAGGCAGCACCACAGCCTTGGCGACTACTGTACTGCGTTTGGTTGGCTGGTAATAATGCAGCTACGTGTGCAAATCTGTCCTGATGTGGATTGATTTATTGTGAGCAGGCACCGGAGCAGCGGCTGCTCAATACGTGACCTGACCTGACTACAAATGCTCATAAATGATGCATTCAAGGACTCGGCCTAACAATGCTTTTTTTTTTTTTTTTAAATAAACTGCATGTTTACAAGTCTATATATGGATTCCTGACGTTCACGTGTACCAGGGAGCTCGTGACCTTGGCTGACTGGATGTTTTGCTCGTTACTGTACGTGTTGCGGCCCGTGTAGCGGCTGCACGGCGAGCTGTGTCGGACCTAATTTTAGGCAGCTGATGTGCGATGTGTTTGCGGCTCGAGCTCTGTCGGAGGTGTGATGTTTATCTCGGCCTCTGGGAATAGCTGTGACAGGCTTTTTCAATTGACCAAAACCTTTTGACCAGAGACCTTGTTACAGCTAAACAAATCACTCCGATCTGCGGCTATATTACCATACAGATATGCGTCTGTGTCCCAGTAAACGAATCAGTCCTGCTGAACCTTTGGCCCGTTCTGTAAAGCTCAGAGCTCCCTCTGTGACCTCTGTCTGTGCAGTCAGAGCTTTATGGAGTCAATGTCCCGGGGTGTCGCTTTGTATCACCATCAAAAGCAGAAATGTTTAGATTAAACTGTTTAGTTTCAGCCCTGATCTTCTCTTGTCTGAATGGACTCGCCTCAGGCCAGTTTCCAGCAGAACTAGTCTGGCCTCCACTGGGCATTACATTAATTTAGAAACCCTTAAAGCTGCTGCAGAATATTAAAATTTCTCCCCAGCGGGAGTATCGAAAAGATGCCTCTTCTATATGCAAAAATATTGAATAATTTAGATAGAAATTGAATACATCAGCGACTGATACCGAACCTGATCGGAATTTAATGCAGCGCCAGCTGATGTGTTTTTGAATAAACCATGGATCAATTTGCTTTCTTGAATATATTACCTATAATTAGTGTCTTTTAGCTCGTTGTTTTAGTTTAACAGCAGCCATACTGTTTTCATTCACTGTTACTGCTCTCGTCAGCATAACGGCCGGCGGCTAAAGGCCGCTGGTTTATCCTGACAGAACAGCAAACCTAGACATCAGCTGGTGAACACAGTGGAACATTTAGCAGCTAGAGAACAAGATATCTCGTTTGGGAGGTGGTGGAGACCAAAACAGAGCTAAAAGGAGAGAGGATATTGTCCACACATTCGTCAGATGGACTCAAATAAAACCAGTGTTGCTCCGATGTGTTAGATCAGCTTCGTTAGACTGTAATCGTTGACTTTATAAATAAAGATGGATGAACCCTGGATGAAGTCAGGATTCCTGAAGAGCGGTTTTGAAGCTCAGGCTCTC